ATGAGAACGTGACCAATTTAATACGACAAGTTATTTGACGTGGAGATGCATTATAACTAATTTAAATGTCGTTGACAAACATCCTAAGAAGCCAGTGGCGGACCCTGTGTAGGCTCACCTGCACTGAAATTTGGGTCATCTCCACAGGGCCACAGCCCTGGATTTTTATTCACAATGCTGCTACCATTGTTAAGTTTGGTGCAAACTTTGGCTAACCCAGTGAGGATCATTGGGGTTCCCGATCTTTATTCTTAAAAGGGATAATTGGGACCATATGTAGAAAATTAATACATTGCGCTTCAAAAACAATTTAGTCCGTATTTAGTTTAACTAAAAATTTAATTTTTAGTAGATTTTTTATAAAAGTTGATGAAATATATAGATTAAATTTTTCTTGAAGATTTTGGGTATCACTTTATGTAAGGTATTTCATTTTTAGTATATTATTATTATTATTATTATTTTTTTATTTTATCATTTTTATTTTATATATATATTTTTTTACATTTACTAATATCACTCACTGGAAAAACTTCCTGGATCTGCCTAGTGATGGCAATTTACCCTGCCCGGTGCCCCCTCGCCCCGAATGGGGCAAAAAGTATTGTTAATAGGTAAATTCAAGTAAGTGGCGCCAAGACAATAATAAATTAAGGACAACATTTTTTTCTACACTTTAAAAAAAATAAAAAATTACTGTGATGTTAACATAGAGCCCGTTTGAACCACATTATAATGAGAATGAGAAATAGAGTCGTTATGGACCTCACACCAGAGATAGAAATTCAAAAATGGTGGCTTGATGTGATGGATAACGGTCATATTTTTCATTTTAATGAGGTAAAAAGCCCCTATATGAAGCCATGGGCATTAAGAAAACCTTGCTTGTATCAAAATTCGCTGAAACTAGAAACTTTGTCAAATAATCCCTTAGAGTCAGAATATTTGAACTAACCTAACAAGAATGTGTATCAACCAGCAGCCTAACTGATTTGGTTATGCAAGACGAATATATGGTTAGAGCACATGGCAATACAGCTGGATTGGAAGAATATTCCTTTTGTATGTAAATGCATATATAGATCCTTCGTGTATATAAGGCAGGCAATATGTAAACATTAAATACAATCAATATACAATTCATTTTACATTTCTGACTTGGTATTAGAGCCAAAATGGCAAACACCAATACCAGTAATCAAGTTACACCAGCTGAATCAGTCACTTCACCTTCCACTCAAGTTGGTGTAATCCAGGTCTCACCATTTGGAATGAACCTCACTCAAACTCCATCAGTGAAACTTGATAGGATAAAAATTAGCATAGAAATTTAAGAAAAGAAATTGTGCTCTTAAACCTCAATTTTTATTATTCAAATTTTTTGTAATGATGAATTACTATAAATGAGCAATCTTTTTGTATTACACTTGATACATAAAAATTAATTGTTAATATATAAATTTAAACACCCATTAAAATGTCTAGATACATGAATATGAATAAATTCATTTATAATAACTCTAAATTCATATAATTTAAGATTCATCAAGTGAAAATTCATTAAATCTAGATTAATGTGAATGTTAATTAATTGAGAATTAATATCACAAATTTCATAAACAACAATAATTATGTAGTAATTATTACATATCAAAAAACGAAAAGTAAGCTATCAGATCAGCTACTAATTGGCTGGTTATATTCTTCCATGACTCCAGAAATAGCAATGAGAGTCATGGGGTGTACTAGCTCAAACACACTATGGACAGCAGTTGAAGAAAGCTTTGGCATACTAAACAAATCAACTGGAGAACCGCAGAGAGTAAGGAAAGTATCCATGACCATGGATCAATATCTCACCACTATCAAACAATTGGCTGACAACCTACATATAGCTAGAAATAAATAAGAAATTTTAAAAAAAATTAATTACTTACGTATAAGGTTTTTTTACCAATAAGTAAATAAATTTAAATATTTCTCCCGAACTAACTTTTTCCCTATTATTCTTGACACTATGAATGAATAATCTGGTCTAAAGCCATCTCATAAATGAAGTATATTAATCTGGTTAAGACATGATGCTAAACTGTTGGAATTAATTTAATATGATTATTATTTACACTAAATACGGGATAAAATTAAATTAATCATTATCTCACCTACTCTGGTGCATGTACAATAATTTTTATTACATTTTTTCCCCTAATTTTTATTGTTTACACTAAAAAGCACCAGATAAAATGCACGTAAAAATATTGTACAAGGCAACTCAATTCTAGTCGATATGATTTATTCATTTAGAGATGAGATTTTTCTCGAGGAGTTATTATCTTGAAGATCCGACCTAGTTTGCTGACTCAGGTGCAAGCAACCATGTGACAGGAGACAAAAGTAACTTGAATAGAGGTAAAAAATATAATGGTCAGTAGAAACTCTTAGTTGGTGATGGAAATTCATTGAAAATTGAACATATTGGAAAAGGAAGAATCCCTACTCTAGATAATCCTCTTGCACTTAATAAAGTATTACATGTACCTGAAATTAAAAAGAATTTGATTAGTGTGTCCCAGCCTACATATGATAATAATATGTTTATTGAATTCTTTCCTGATCACTGTGTTGTAAAGGACTTGAAAATCAGGAAGACCCTGCTGCAAGGAGTGCTTAAGGATGGATCATATCGGCTGAAGCTCCCAACCTCAAAGTCTAAACCTACAAATCAAGAGTCAAACCATCGAAATAATACCAGGTGTTTCACAATAAGTTCTGGTTGTTATGAGTCAACAAAGGGAGTCATGTTGGAGTCAGAAGTTAATATATGGCATAGAAGGCTAGGTCATCCATCAAGTCATGTGTTGAGTCAAGTCTTAAAGTCATGTAATAAATCCATCAAAGTTAATGAAAAACTAACATTCTGTGAACCATGCCAATTTGGCAAATCTCATGCGTTGCCCTTCAATATGTCTTCGTCGTATGCCTCAAACCTCTTGGACTTGGTCTACACGGATATCTGGGGACCAGCACCTAGAATTTCTACCTCAGGTTTTAGATACTATATAATTTTTGTGGATGATCATAGCATGTTCACTTGGATCTACCCCATGAAACATAAATCTGAGGCACTAATCATCTTCACTCAGTTCAAAAAATTGGTTGAAAGTAAACTTGAAAGAAAGATCAAAACATTGCAATCTAACTGGGGAGGAGAATTTAGAGTCTTTAACCAAATTACCTTGGAATTTTGGATTGAATTTAGGCATTCTTGCCCCTATACTTCTATGCGAAATGGAAGGGCAGAGAGAAAGCATAGACATATCACTGAAACTGGCCTAGCACTCTTAGCTGAAGCTCAAATGCCACTACATTATTGGTGGGAGTCCTTCCAAACAGCAACATTCCTTATCAACAGATTACCTACACCTATATTACAACACAAATCTCCTTTTCAAATATTGTATGGAAAGAACTTTGACTACAAAACACTCAAAATTTTTGGCTGTGCCTGTTATCCTTGTCTTAGACCATACCAAAAACACAAATTTGATTTCCATTCACAAAGATGCACCTTCATTGGCTATGATGATTCACACAAAGGATATAGGTGTCTAAGCTCTAGTGGTAAAATATATACCTCCAGACATGTAATTTTTAATGAACGTGTTTTTCCCTTCAAGTCAAGTTTTCTAAGTCGACAAGACCAACCACAAAACTCTGAATCTGTAATGAGTCTTCTTCCATTTAACATTGAGTCCAGCCACAAAGCAATTTCTCAAGATACAGCTAATATGATCTATCCTGATGCATCAACTACAGCTGGTCCCTTTGGTAGAAAGCTAGTTACTGAAGTAGAAAGTGAGGCAGGAGAAGAAAGCAACAGTGCTGAGACAAATCTTGGTCAATCAGGTGGTCAGGCGGCAAGTGGTATTCAACAAGCTGAATATGAAGTCGAACATATTGAGAATGAAGTAAGCATTGATGAACAAACTGTAACACAAGCTGCTGGACACCACATGGTTAATAGAAGTAAGGCTGGAATTTTCAAACCAAAAATTTACACAAGTCAGAAGGTTGACAAATCAAGAGAAACAAAACCTTTGACTGTTGATGAAGCAATGCAAACTGTTAGCTGGAAAAATGCAATGATGGAGGAATACAATGCACTGGTGAAAAATAGAACCTGGACATTGGTACCTTATGAACCTGGAATGAAGGTCATTGGAAACAAGTGGGTATTAAAGCTGAAGTACAACTCAGAAGGCAAGATGCTGAGACACAAAGCAAGGCTGGTGGCCAAGGACTTTCTTCAGACACCTGGAGTAGACTTTGATGAAACATTCAGCCCTATCATCAAGGCTTCAACACTAAAAATCATCTTGACACTGGCTGTATCAAGAGATTGGAGCATTAGGCAAGTAGATGTGAACAATGCCTTCTTGAATGGCAAGTTAAATGAGTAGAATTAAGATGTTTTCTTGTACTTTTCCTATACTAAACTGAATTTATCATTGTTATGATGTAGATGAGCCATTGTTATGACGTTTTAATATAAAATAAGTGTTTTGCTATCCAATATGTGTGAATTCATGGACGATTGTTATTGAGTTTTAATGCTTTTTAATTGCTTGACACCAATTGCCTTCTATGTGAATTTTATTGATTTCGAGAGAAATAATAAAATAGAGAGTACTTATAACAATCATAGTAAAGTTCGATAGGGGCATAGAGATATACCACTATATTTTGCATGATTTCTATAGATGTTCTAACGTTTTTAATGCATGTTTTCATATTCGCATCTTTCATAGAAATATGAGAAGATCGTATAAAATGATAGATTTAACTGACATCGAGATATGCTTTTAATTAACTTAAGAACATTGATCAACATGAATAAGTACATATTATCATGATATTTAATTGTATTAAAAATTGATTAACAGTGGAGATTCGAAGTCTTAGTATTCGTCTCACATATTTGACGCTTTGCTCTTAAGAATATGGGAAACCTCACTAAGTTCTTGGGTATAGAAGTGTATAGAGACACAACAGGACTGCATTTAAATCAAGGAAAATATGCAATTGATCTACTGAGAAAATTTGGGTATGAAAACCCGAACCCAAGCTTGACGCCAATGGTAGTTGGGAAGTTAATTTCAAAAACTGAAGGATAGGCCCTAGAAAATCCAACAGTGTATAGAAGCGCCATTGGTGGTCTCCAGTATTTAGCCTATACAAGACCTGATATCACCTACTCTGTAAACAAAATGAGCCAGTTTCTCCAAACACCAACAGATGCTCACTGGAAGGCACTCAAAAGGGTGTTCAGGTACTTGAAAGGAACAATAAAACATGGCCTTATCATTCGGAAAAGTGACAATCTTGACGTAAATGCATTTGCTGACTCTGACTGGGCATCATGCCCAAATGATAGAAGATCCACTGCTGGTTATTGTGTATACCTTGGAGATAACTTGTTGTCTCGGTGCTCGAAAAAACAACATGTTGTAGCAAGGTCGAGCACGGAGGCTGAATACTACAATATTATACAATTTATGGTCACAATTATGAATTAGTCACAATTACAGCCCCCGTTTTATTACTATTATTTTCAAAATACATTTTTCTCTCTTTTATTTTCAACCATACATTCTTCAATAACATAATATTACGTTCAAATTCAAACTTTTTCTTATTTTTAACCACATATTTTCCATCAAATCACTATTACAAAATGCATTTTTGACAAATAATGGAAATCAAATAGGGTTACAGACATCACAATCCCAAATAACAAATTTTATAAGTCACGATTTATTTCTCAATTGTAACTTAAATAAATTAATTGGTCGTATGTTTTTTTTTTTTTTCTATCACAAATCACAATTTTTATAAGTCACAACTTATTTTATGGATACAAAATATCAAATTAATTGGACCTAAATTATTTTTAGGTCACAAATTATCAAAGTATTGTCATGACTTAACAAATTTTTAGATCACACATTATTAATTAGTCACAAATTATATATTTCGTTGGTCACATATTAGTGACCAATATATTGGTAACAATCAATAAAACAATTTATGACCAACCATATCGCCGCATCTAGCAGCAGCACAGCCAACACAAAATTAAAAGAAAAAGAGAAATAAAGCTGAGGGCTGAAAGGCCTCTAATGAGCGATGCGAGGAAAATGTAGGGGAAATTTCAATCTATCTTTCATTTAAACGTTGAGAAGGACAGCAATAAGCAGGGTATGCTTAGCTGTGATGATGACATTGTGCATTGCACATTGTCGCTGTGCATTTGTGCGACTTCATGTGCAACAGGTGTACTGCTGTCATGAAAAGTAGACTTGTTGACGTGCATTCCATCGCAACCACTATCACAGGTGATGGGATGAGGATCGATGGTTTGTTATTGTGCATTCCATCGCACCACTCCAACGGGGTTGGTAAAGAGTATAGAGGGATATAATAAATGGAGAGATATAGAGAGAAAAAAGAAGAAAGGAAAATAATTAGGGTTTGGAATGAAATTTGGCGAGATAGATGGAGGTAGGGTGAGTATATATATTAATTTAAATTTTTTAATATAATTATTAATATTGAATTATTATCCAATTTTTGTATAAATAAATTTCGAATTGAATTTTTCAACTGACAATTTAAAAAGAGAAAATTACCTAGAACTCTACCTTTAAAGATTAATTTTCATTTCACAAATCAGGAGATAATTAATTTTTAATAACTGTAATTAATAAAAATTTAATTAAACCTGATCTACATATTCACCCAATCCACACCCCATTCCCACTCATTTTCTTCCTCTTCTCTATGTGCCACCACACGATACCCACCACCACCAAATCGATCTCTAGTCCAACCAGAAATTTTCAGTAAATTCAAGCGGCCGAGACAATGGATGGACAGGTGATGATGGATAGATTACTATAGGTAACGAAGGTGACTTCATGGGTGGTGGGGAGAATATTGAAAGTGGTGGTAAGCTTACAAGTGGTGGTGGTTGTGAGTGATTGGATGGTGGAGATGAGCTCCTGGGTGGTGGAGAAAAGAGAATTGATTTTGGTGTTGTATTTGGTGATGAAGGAGATGGAACCACCATAGCTTTATCAGAAATTTTAGTGACAGGTGGTTTTTTATCAGATCTTTTGTTTAACCAGAGTTTTGGGATGGTTGTTGGTGTTTTGCAGTGTCAGTGATTTTCTGATCTTCTGTTGTTGGTGGTCTTGACTGGTTGTGACTTAGGATTGACCTGGTCACAAATAGTCGCATTGAATACAATTTTGGTTACAATTAGTCACATAGAAGATAAAGTTGGTCATGATTAATCACAGGTCTGCAATGTGTGCAGATTTGTTTGTGGTGACTATTTGTGACCAATTTTGTGTTGATTGTGATCAGTTGTGACTTGAGATTGACCTGGTCATAGACAGTCACACTGAATATAAATTTAGTCACAGTTAGTCACACCAAAGATAAAGTTGGTCACAGGCGTCGGAGTGGTCATTGGAGCAGTTTGCAGGAGGGATTATCCAACAGCTATCGGAGTGATCGCTGGAATAGTTGTCGGAGTAATTGTTCTGAGTGATCGTGGGAATGACCGTCATAGTGGCCACCAAAGTTATCGCGGGAGCTGATGGCCATCTCCGGTGGAAAGGTGGTGTAGTGAAGTGATAGGATGGAGTGGCATTGGTGAAAATAATTGATGTATATTATATCATATTTTAATATTTAATAAATTTATTTACCACCTGTCTTTTGAAATATTTTAATGAGTTTGTTATTTATGAAATGTGATCTTTAAAATTAGAAGTTATGTTAAGATTCCATTTTAAAAACTTGGTTATATGTAATTTCCACTTCCCAAAATGGTGACCCAAAATGAATTGGGCCTGGATAAGATTCTGGGCAACCCACCAAGAATGGCTTCTAATTAATTTTCATAATTGTATCTTATAAAGATCAATGCAGAATTTGATCTTCCCTTTTATAGTTGAGAGTATTTAAAAATCTTGATTTTAACTCTTTTATCACGTGCCTTCATAAGATAGGTAGAGTACGTGATACTACTCAATTATTAGTACTAGAGACTGAAATTGATAGGGGCTACAACTTGTGTTGTGGAACGATTTGGAGTAGCTGAATATGGAATGTGTAAAGAAATGGGAGGTAGAGAAAATCACAAGGATAGTGGAAGTTCTAGTTAGTTTAGATATTGATAAAAGATTGAAAGAAAAAGAAGGTACACATAAGACATTTTCAAGAAGCAGGTTTTCGGCAATTTTCCCTTTTCCAATATTGTGTGACTTCATAAGATAGGTAGAGTACGTGATACTACCAATTATTAGTACCAAGAATGACTCTCTTGAACAAGTCAAGATCGAGTTGGGCAATGTTGACATGAGGTCGATGGTGAGAACTTGACTTTATATTGGAATATGAATGCCTATGAGTTGGACCGTTGATTACCATAAGATTGAGTATCGTGGAATGATGAGAGCACAAGGTTCTTCTTCCCACTTTTACAATCACGTAACATGTATTACTTTCTTCGTTATTGATGTAGAATAGCGCATATGAAAGCATGGAATTATGAAAATCATGAACAACTTTCTAGTTCTGTATGATTCACTCATGGAGGACAAAAAACTAGGATTCAAACACTCGATGATTCATAAAAAAATATTGCGAAGGTGATTGTATGATTAAAAAAAAAACACTTAATTTTTATTTCATTAAATCATATTTTTCCAAAGACCAAAAGGGTCTAATTTCTACATGCAATAAACTCCTATTCTCCGAGGACAATTCAGAATACTATAAGGGTGCGTTTGATAACTCTTTTTTTCCATGGAAAATGGAATTCTAAATCCAATTCCCACTTTTTCCTTGCTCGACTACCAAAGATTTCCTGGAAATTGGTTTTCTTGCCTCCCCTCCCACGCGCCTCCTTTCCTTATTTTGGCTAAATTAATTTTCCCACCATTTTGGTGGGAATTAATTTTCTAGCTTTTTATTTTTTTGATTTTTTTTTTTAAATTTTTGGCAATGGAAACAAATTTTAGAAAAAATTGTAAAAGATGATATCCTTTAAATTGACAATTTTTATGTAAAATAAAGTCAAATGAACTCCAAAAGATAGATGATTTTCTTGAATTTTTTGGGAATGAAAACAAATTTTATCCCCAATACCAGTAAAATATATCCCTTTGATTAACAACTTTTATATAAAACAAAGACAAACGAAAACAAAAAAAAACTTTTATTTCAACAAATTTCACGTGGAAAATTATACCAATCAAATACAATAATTTACAATTCTCAGGAAAACAATTTCTAGCTAATTTAATTTTCTGAAATTCATTTTCTTTCCACCCAAATTCTATATCTACAATCAAACAGACCCTAATAGAAATTTTTATATAATATTAAAACTACCATAAACAAAACTTTAATAAAAAATTTCAATCCAAAGGAAAAATAAATTTTAAAATTGTCATAAAATACTAAAATTGTAAATTTGCCAAAAGAATTGATCATTTTCATTTAGCACACATCGCTTATCCTCTTCATATGTTAACTTGATCATCAAATAATGCTATTCACAGTTACTCACCATCATAGTCGTCCTACGTGACATACATATGACGGTTGGTGATTTAATATTTAAGGTAAGAAAAACTGTCACATCCATAGATCAAATAACAAACCGTCATGAAGGATACTACGTAAGACGACTACCGCAGTGAACAACCATAAATAGCATTACTCCTTGATCATCATAGTGGTAAAGGAAGAGAGTACCAACCTTGCTCTTATGTTATCGGAGGAGCGCATTAATAATTTTTTTAGGTGTCATCAATTGATTTGTTCAATTTTGATTAATAATATCTTTTTTCCCCATATTGTTTAGTATAATAGAATTCTTAGCTCTTGTTTGGTCTCCATTATTTTCAAAATACATTTCTCTTTATCTTATTATTAACTATGCATTCTTCAATAAAATAATAGTACACGTAAATCTAAAATTTTTCATTATTTTTTAATCACACATTCACCAATCAAAATACTATTCCAAAATGCATTATTCGTTTGGCCAAATTTATAAATTATTTATAAATGGTAAAATTTTATTTTTAACTACAAATTTCAATGTATTCACAAGTTCTTATTGACTATTTTTTATTTAAAGAAAAACATTTCTAAATAAGTTTTGAGAAATCAATGGAAAGAGAATTAATGATTAAAGAGTCAATTTGGAAACCACACATTTGACATTACAATAAATATTGTGCACGAACGCCGAAAGTGCCGAGTGATGGTGGGCAAGAAAAGACCAAAGCAATTCAACATCATCAATTATCACATGATTCACCATCTGTTGGTGGTTGTACTCAACTTGGGCATGCCATGAACATAAAAAATAAGTCACAAACTCCATTGTGTGAAGATGACAATAACCAGTTCATTCATTCACGATATTTGTTGACTAAAATGAATTGGATCTAGTCTTGTCTTAGATCATTCAAAACGTATAGGGGTTTAGAACATACATGTTGATGGTTAATATATGTTTCAAACGAAGTTTCTTATATCTAAATGAGTCAATATGAGGTCAGTAAAATCATATTTGTACATGTCATCCATCATGAATAGATGGAGAATAGTGGACCTAATTAGCTCTATACCCGTTCTTTTATATATAGACTTTGTTGGAAATCTACTTATACATGCACAGCGGAATTTAAAATATATTTCGATTCCCATCCAATAGATCTCATTGTGTTTGGTTAGGAATTGTGATAAAATTGTACCTTTTCCAGAGCTGCAATCCTTTTGCTTTTCTTTTCGTTCCACAACTTTGATGCGCCACCACAGCTGTCCAATTGTCCAGCCTCCAACGGTGATCCACACAGAGAATATGATTGCAGCCTCTAGGGTTTTCTCTTGTGCTAGCAAGAATAATGAAAACCTTAATGGACCTCAAACCTTAGTTATGTATTTATATAAACCCAAATAGGCTCGGCCGGTCCGGCCCAATAATTAATTAATCCAATTAATTAATTTATCCAACGATTGTTAAATTAATCGATTGGCAATTTGCAATCTTCCAATTCTCTTTTGTGTGTGACCCATTAGGTTCCCGACCACGATACCTAACGACGTGAAATATTATTTTAATCTAATCAAAATTGATAAATTAAAATACTCTTTTAATTTATCGTCAATTCACATTCGCCGTCCCTGATTGACATCTAGCAATGTGTCAGGGCAATACATGTGACGGGAAATGTCACGTGGTATGACAAAACCAAATTCGTTCGTTTACCGTGAAACTATAATCCCTTCGTCAATATGATCCGATCAATTACGAGATATGGAATTGTGTCAATCTCGATCATCGATCATATCTTTCACTCCACTATTAAATCAATATAAATCGAAAACTCCTTTTCGACTTATGAGTACACATTGGCCAAGGATTTCATCATTGACTTAATTGAATGAAACGCAGATCATAATCTCCTACTATCTAAGAGTGACGAATCCTTTATTGATCAATCACAACCTTCATACGATTCTTGACGTGCCCGAACGATGTCGTATTAGCGGCCCTTTTCAGAGCAACATCCAACACCGCCAAAGTATAACTGTCCTCATATAAGGTACCATGACGACCTCAAGTCAAAGGACCAATTTCACTACCGAACGTTAGAGATTAACCACCGACACTCAGATAGTTATCCATGTGGAATCTCTCGACTGGTCTCCAATGTTTTGTTCTATAACAAACATCCACGTGTTCATTTAAGTGTCACCACACTTTAACTTGTGAGATCAGCTACTTACTTTACAAATAAGAAATGCCACACGTGATGGTCTATCCGTAATAACGATATCCGTATCTCGTTATTACTTACGACCACGGATGATTTAAGATTCAATCAGATGTAATTTGTATCTCACAATCACAACTCCTTGTGATTAACAAATTACAAATATTTGAATCTACGGACTCTATTATTTATTTAATTGTCTATTAATTAAATAATAGATCTTCCATTTAATTGCATTAATTATATATAAAAGTATTTATGTCCAAAGTTGATTGGACCTAGGGCATAATACTTACAAACTCCCACTTGCACTAGATCCAATCACTTATGTATCGAATATCATAAGTTTACATGACGATCATGTTTATACTACGGCAACCCTTTGTCAGTGGATCTGCAATATTATTAAATGTAGAAATTCGCAATTCTTTTTACGTCATTTCTATGTATTATCTCTTTGATGAGATTATACCGCCTTAATACATGTTTGGATCATTGATGAGACCTTAATTCCTTTGCTTTCGCAATGGCTC